AACTTAAATAAATGCAGGTATTCCTAACTGCAAGATACCTGTTGACAAAGTACATCACTCTACCTATTATGCCATACTGACCTTAAAAATAGAAGATAACATACAAATCAGAGGAATGTCTAAATATGAAATCCAGTGGGATGGTGGCACATGGAAATTAAAATACCAAATCCAAAGTGCAAAATTGCTAAAACTAATTCAATAAACTATAAACTAAAAGCAATCAATAATGTAGAGTGGTTGAAGCAGGAAGCAAATTACAACTGGTAATTAATATGATTACTGTAGTGAAGACTGAATGTCTCCATTCACAAAATAAACAGATTACAACTCTGATCCATTCTCTCTAGCCATCTTAACAATCAATGCAAATTGTTTCACAATCACATACAGAGTCAAAATTATCCTATTAGCTGTGCCACAACATAATACAATGTCTGTGTAGAGACATGATCTAAGCTTCTAGACCAGGGGTTCTTAACTTGAGATACACAAACTCCTTAGGGGGTCCTTGGAAAGATCGCAATGGATCTATGAACATGGAAAGAAAAAAGATAACGTCTTTGTTTCACTAACCTCTATTTGAAATTTAGTATTTTCTTCCACTATAAATGGAAGCAACATACCATAGTAATATTAGTAGTACCTGTGACTTTGTCGCTGATAGAAATCAGATATTTTTATATCACATTATAGATGTTGCAACTATATTGAAATATTATTTATCCTCTTACTACTTCTAAAATACTATAGGTACTAGACCCTTTAACTTGCCTATAGTTTTTTTTAATTTAATTAACTTTTTATTTAATAATGTTTTATTTTTTCCAATTACTTGTAAAGCCAATCTTCAATGTTCATTTTTTGAAAGGTTTTGAGCTCCAAATTTTTCTCCATCCCTCCCCCTCACCAAGACAACTTGCCTATATTTTCAATATAATGTCTTTATTATTTATTGAATTAATAAAGCACATGTTACTATATCACATATTTTATTTTAATATTTTAATAAAAATATTTCAATGTAATTGTTTTCCTTTGTAATTCTATGCATTTCTTTTATGCATTTAAAAACATTCTGAGAAGTGATCTATAGGCTTCCCCAGATTGCCAAAGGAGTCCATGACACAAACAAAGTTGAGAGTATTTACTCTAGAAATTATGGGCCATATCTATTTAACAATACAGTGTGTCCCAAAAGTCTAAGACCAAGACTTTATTTGCACATCACCTAATGAAACCCTCCAAATAAATGCTTTTTGTTCATGGTGATCATAAGTAATCCTACCTCCACTTACCAACAACCAGGTTTCACTTGAATTTCACTGGATCAATCAACAGTCAAACAGCATTTATTAAGCACATATTATGTGCCAGTTACTGGGAATACCAATACAACGAATGAAACAATCCCACTTACAAAGGGTTGACATACTAGCTTTAAGTGCCATACTTTAGATAAGAAGATATTAAAAATTTAAGACAGACACATTAACATTTAGAAATCCAAATCAATTTATTTAAAGATGGATTTAGCTTATGAAATAAATCATTAAGCAAACAATGAAAAAATTATTAATAAGTGAGTTTAAAATTTAAAAAGATTCATCATCAAAATATTAATTTGAGACTACACTGAAAGTTTTAAGTAAAACATGTCAGTGATGAATAAGATCGGATCAAAAATAAGATTAGCATACTATATGTCCAGGGTATATAAATAAATTTATCGAAGATTAAAAGATAGGGACTGACCCTGTGATTTTCATTGCTACAGAGAACTGCTAGAGAGAAAATTCCTTCTACCAATTCAGGTCAGCACCTTTTCTGTGATGTAAGACTCTTAGAATGTTAACAGTATGGGTCAGTGGCAGGCTTTGAACCCAATGACTTCTTAGGTTCAAGGCCAGCTCACTATCCAATATAGTCCATGACCTCTCTAATTTAAGACTAAATAATTCAAAATAGCTAGAAAAATAAATGTCTTTCCATGTTGTCTTTAATTGATCAGTATTCTTGGGAATTTGTGCTTTCGAGAGAATTAAAAACAATTTTCTTTTTGATATATAGCAGAGAACATACATTCAATCCCCAAACATAAAAGAGAAAGATATATGGCAAAATAAGGACACCATTCAGACTTATTATTCTATCATTGATTCTCACAGATATAATATATATTGTCACTTGTAATTGTTGTCTGTGACACAAAAGTAAATTTTTGTTTCCATTTAAATTTTCCCAGAAAAGAAATTACATAATTAAAATATTCCAGATATCTGAGATGTCAGTTAATGTGTTCTCTTTAAGAAAAAGATGTCCAAATTTCAAATTCTGTTCAAATTGTTAATATTTTATAGCCATTAACATTCTATTTGCAACATCAGCAAAAATAGGTGTTCATCTGTTACTAATTTCCTTTAGTTGCAAAGTCCACTATTTCAATGAAGGATATGTTGTTACTCTGTAATTTTTTTCTGTGTGAAGGATTCACAAACATAAGCAGAAAGGAAGTTACTAAAAAAAAAAGGTGGGGGGGGACAATTCAATACTTTTTGATGATCGTAAATGTGGAATATATAATTATGCATGTGATGCAGACAAAATTCCTTATTTTATATATGGAATAGGCATTATTTCAATGAAGATAGTACTATTTCTGTACAAGTAAAAAAATAGACACTAACAATACAGGCTGAGATACTTATCTATAACTGTGGTTCCCCAAAGTATGGTGCTCCAAGTGTTCCATGGACTGCTTGCTTATGTCCTTAAAACTTATAACAGTATCTTATTTTTATTTCTGGTCTGAATTTGATGATTTAATTAATCAATGATATCTCATCCAAAGCACTTCTCATTAAGCTGTTAATACTAGGTTCTGGTTTTTGGTTTGGGGTTTTTGTTTTTTCTCCAATGGCAAGTAGAAATAGAGAGGTAAGTAGTCCTCACATCCTTTCTCTGACTGAAGTGGTCCATGGAGAGACCAAAACAGTATACAAATAATTTCTCTAAAGTAATATGGCAACAGAATGGACACACAAATACAAAAAAAAAATCAATAGACACATATTCAATATTCAATATTCAATATTATTTACTGTTTAGTGCCATCTGTGAGGAACAGATTTTAAGGAGCTGCTTTTGCCATTATTTAAAACCTAAATATCACTTTATAAAGTAATTTATGAACACTATCAGTTCAACTCCATGACATCCTAGTGCTATATCTTTGAACTGATTCACTTTTAGTTCTAAATAAAATTTTGGGTAAAAAAGTTTTTATTAGTGTTCTTAATCCAGAATCTAGTCAAAACCCATAGATGTTTAGTCATTCAAAGCAGAAGTTTTTAGCATAAGCTTTACATGGAAACTAAATAACTTTCACAAATATGTAAAATGCAAATAAGATATTTTTATTAAAAAAAAGCAATATTTGTAGAAACTCTAGGCATCTAATTAATATGTTTACAATGGGCTGAAACCTTTCAGTACAGACTAACTACCCTAAAAGATTAAATGCTACTTAAAAAGAAAAAGAAAGTATGATGCTTAACCCATTACCAACCATTGTTCCACTGGGGGGACTGTTTGGTTTTTTTACCTTTTTTATATAAAAATTTTATGCAACTTACTGTTAAAACTAATTTTTATCAGGTAGTGGGTTAATATGATTTATTTCATTCATTGTGGAAGATTTCATGACTGGAGACACTGCAGAGAAACAAATATGTATAGATAGATCAACAATCACAGTACAATAAAAAACAAAATGTGTATTTTGACCCTATTTTTGAGATTTTCTATGAGATTTTGAACCAAAAGATATTTGGAAAGGTAATTCAAGTAGTTCTGCCACTCTGCCACAGGTGATACTTTCAAGTACAATTTGACCCCTGAGATGTCATTTTGAAACTAATTTATTTACTGTATGAACATCAAAATTTGCTAGAATAACTTTTTTTCTTGGAAGGGTCAATGTATCCTGCCTTTCTTGGCAACATTCAATTCATCCCATATCCACCAACTACATAAAAGACTGGTTATTTACTATGTGAATAGCTTCTGAAAAACTTATGTCTGGTGGACTTCCTCTTTCTTCTCCAATCACTAAATAAGTAAAAAACAAACAACTCCAAACAAAACAAAAATCCCACAAACCCCTCCCAAACCTCTAGTTCTTGCTTAATACAAAAATTCAGGATGATCGCAAAGGTATTCTTACCAGGAAAGGCACCTTAAACCTCTTAATGAGCTGTTGGGTAGGTACCAGGGTAGATGACCTCTAGGGTCAAATGAGGTATATAAGCCTGCTGTTGTTATTACTGTTATTATTAGTAGTACTATCATTATGTCTATTTGAGTTTAAATCCCATGATCCTATTCATTTATTCTGACTCATTCCGATTCACTACTTCCCTACCCTGTTCCAATTTAGTACCAGTTTTGTCAAGTCTGGGTTGCTAAAGAGGGGACTAAGTACACTGGAAAGATCCCTAGCAATGGAGTCAGAAGACTTAGTTTAAATCTCAACTCTCATGCTTGCTATCTTGGTGACCTTTTTACTTCACTTTTCTCATTTATAAAGGGACCAAATTGGATTAGACGCCTCGAAGATCTTCTTCTTAATTCTATGAATAATTTGGTCCCTCAGGTGCCCAGCTCTGGTACCTCCATAACTTTTTATGCTAGCTTCATTTTCAGATGGGAACATCTGGAATCCTTGTCTTCTTTTATCGAAGTCCTTTCCAACTCGTTTCTCCAGCTGTCACTGAGCTGGGTGACCTTGGGCCAATCTCCCCGCTTTACGCTTCAGATTCCTCACCTGTTTGGGCCAGGTTTGGGCCAGATGACTTCTGAAGTCCAGCTCTAGGTCTAGGTGGTCCCTAGGTCTCTCCCTGCGCTCCACCTTCCCCGGCCCTTCCCCATCCCCCCCACCCCCACCCCAGTTCTGCAAAACTTCCTTGGACTGACATCACCCCACTCCCCCCGGGACTCACCAGGAGCAGGTTGTGGGCCACCTGGTAGCCGAGCCGCCGGTTGCCCCGCACACCCGGGGCAAGCCTCCCCGTGGCATAGCCGTGCCAGGCCACCACGTAGGGGTTGTCGATGGTGATCCAGTACTTGACCTGACCGCCGAAGTGACGGAAGCAGAGCTCGGCATAGTCCCTGAAGAGGTCGGCCACGGTGCGGTTGGCCCAGCCTCCGTAAATGTCCTGCAGGCGCTGGGGCAGGTCCCAGTGGTACAAGGTGACCACGGGCTCCACGCGGAGTTCGCGCAGCCGCTCCAGCAGGCGCCGGTAATAGTGCAGCCCCTCGAGATTAGGGTGCCCCGCGCCCACGCCGCCCCCGCCGGGCAGCACGCGAGCCCACGAGATGGAGAAGCGGTAGTGGGTGACCCCGAGCTCGCGCAGCCCCTCGGTGTCGCGGAAGATATGGTTGTAACTGTCACCAGCCACGTCCCCCGTGGCGGGACGGGGCGGAGCCGGCGGCAAAGAAGGCTGCGAGGACCAGGAGTGGGACGGGGCTGGGAGGTCCCCTGGGGGCGCAGCGGGGCGGTGGGTGAAGGTGTCCCAGATGGAGGCGCCCTTGCCATGCTGCCTCCAGCCGCCCTCCGTCTGGTAGGCAGCACTGCCCACCGACCAGAGGAAGCCGTCGGGGAAGGTGTCGTGGAGGAAGCCCGCGGCCTCGGGCGACGGAGCGCGGCTGAAGCGGACCCAAGTCTGCGCGCCATCCCCGGGATCAGCGCGCAAGCAGCGGCCGCCCAGCAGGCACAGCAGGCACAGCAGGGGCAGAGTCAGCCGCAGCGGGGCGGCCCCGGCCCGAGCGTGGGGGCTCATGTTACCTGCGGGGTAGCAGGGGAACGCGCATGTGAGGCCCTCTTTATCTCTGCGCCCGCCTGCCTACCTCCCCGCCCCTGCATGCGCTCCGCGCCTTCTCCAGAGTCTCGCCCACTTCTGCCTCCCTCAGTGGGCAAGTCTGTCAATAATTACCTGGGAACCCCCGCCTTTCCCTCTTCTCCTCTCTTTCTTTCCCCTCCCAACCTACATCCCGGGACTTGATGGTGAGGTTAGTGCCAGGATCAGGAAGAGGAGAGAGGGATACCCAGGGCAGAACCGAGGAGGGGACAGAGGGAGCCAGGCACTCTGGAGACCCCAGAGCGAGGGGAAAGACACGTATCTTCTACTGGCGGCAAAGCACCAGAGAAGAAAAAGCACCTGTTAATCTTCAGCTCACTGCTCTTCTTCGAGAAGAAGCAACTGATGCCTAAGGATAGTGAAATCTCTCCCACTTTCAAACCTAGAGCAGAGAAGACAAGGGATGTGTGTGTAGCCATCTGGGAAAGTGAGAGGAAGACCAACTTTCCTGGAGCACAGAACTAGATCTTTGACTGAAACCGTACTCCATCTCCACGAAAGAGGATGGAGACAGCCCAGAAAGGGAATCTGCCTCCCTGGCTGGATTACCTTATCAACATTATCATTAAACAAGTGACCTCCCCCCAAAAGCACCTGCTTCTTCATTTTGTTACCGAGATTGTTACCTAAAAATATACTTTACTTTGAAACATAGGCAGAAGAGGTGTTTGTTTTTCAATCGACTGGGGAAGGAAAAGGATGGAGTAAGTGATTTTTCAAAAAGAAGACAAGTTTCTCAGGACCCTAACTTTCAAACATTCTCAGGGCATTGCCCCTCCCCACACATTTTACCAGCCACTAAATGAGGTCTTCTGAGATGTACCTGATTGTGATAGAAATGTATCTTACCACTACTCAATAATTCAGAGTTTAACTGTCCGTTCTCTGCGTGGTCAGTGCTTTTTCTGCTTTTCTTTCTCTCTTACCCTTGGTCTCTTAGCCATTTCATTGCCTATTAGGTTTTCCAAGAGATTATAAAAATTCCTGGTTGAAATTCAAATCAATAATATTAACTTTTTCATGTATCTAGCATGAAGGTTTGGATGGTCAGTAATGGTAATTTATCCCATTATCCTTTCTATTCTTTTCTTTAAAAGTTCTCCTATAGACCAGCAACTAAATTTTCTTAACAAAGGTCAGCGATGCCTAGAGGCTTCAGCCAACAAATGATCTGGTTAAGTGTTATGAAGCTCATGGGAATAGGGAGAATGCGAGGGGAAAACAACAAAAAACACTCTTATTTTACCAGATACCAAAAGAAATCTTGATCCAAAAAGCTGTGGCGCCACAGGACTTGTTGATATCCCTGAAATCATATACCATACAGTAGCCCATTATCGTGGAATGGTCATTTCTGAGTTGCTTAGCATAATACTACAAATGATATTATTTCTATTCTTCCCTTTCATTTGTAAATATTGCAACATTTATTAAATTTAAGTGCAGCTAGCATGCAACATTATCTGTAAGATTAGAATGTCAGTGCCATGACATTCTGAAATTGTGAGTAAATATGAAATAATATTACTACCATTCCATGGGTTTAATAAAATATAATTGTTGAATGCAGCCTCACGTTTTTCTTGAAATGATTTGGCTCTATGTAGCATGTTAAATTTCATTTAGGAATACTTCAGAGGTCCCACGGGAAAAAAGCTTAGGCTATGTATTAACTTCAGTGTAGTTTGTTCTTCAGAGTAGATTGTATCTACCACTACTCTTTTATTTAAACAACATAAAATCCAAAGATAACTCTAGAACTAGTAGGGGAAAAAAGCTAATGAAATGCATCATATCTAAAGTTCAGCTGTACAAAAGAAACTTAAGAAATACAGATCTCCTTAGAGTAATATTAAAACTTTCACCCATAGATGTACCCAGAAGATAATATCATTTTTTAACTTGATTGAAGACTTTGTGATAATCAACTCTTATTTTAGAAATATCTATTAAACTTCCACCTACGATTACTATCACATTTTTGAAGTGCCAATTACTACTGCAATATATTTTAACTTTTTTATTTCATAATGTTTGTTACCTTTAGTAACCATTACCAACCATGTTATGTGAATTTTATTTGAGTTGCCATGTAGAATCAGATTTGCATTGGAATGCTTCCTTTGATGCTTAAGAGCAATGTAATTCTATTTAACTGCTCAAACTTTGGTTTATTTATCTGTAAAGTGGAAAAGATAATCCACAGTTTCACAAGGTTTTTTTTTGAAACCTTAGCTATATAAATATGAATGATATGCCAGGACAAAACTGTTTTGAAATAATACTAACCTATATTTTACATATGAAGATGATGGTCCTGACTTGCCTTCCAAAAGGACCTATAACTAAAGTTGTTTTTCCTGTAGTGAGAATGAGTTTTAGTAATTCATCCAACCTCTCAATTATCCAAACTATTTCATCCAATCTATAATAATAACTGACATTTATACAGCACTTAAGGTTTGCAGGGCTCTTTATAAACACGGTCTCATTTGATTCACACAACAACTCTGTGAGTTAAGTATTACAGGTATTGTTATTTTGCAGAAAACAATTTCAAAGAGATCAAATGATTTACTCACAGAGCTAATAATTTGAACCCAAATCTTCTTAATTTCAGATGCAGCACTCTATCCACTTAACTGTGGTACCTCTCATTCGTACTATTAATCCTGCTGACCTTTGTTAAGAAAATTTAGTTGCTGTTCTATAGGAGAAATTTTAAAGAAAAGAATAGAAAGAATAGTGGGATAAATTACCATTACTGACCATCCAAACCTTCATGCTAGATACATGAAAAAGTTAATATTATTGATTTGAATTTCAACCAGGAATTTTTATAATCTCTTGGAAAACCTAATACATTATTATAATCCTGACTATTAATCCAGGGGTTCTTATGCTGGGAAGGTCCATGAACTCGGATTGGAGAAAAAAAATTACATCTTTATTTTCACTAACTTTTGATTTTGCTTGTAATTCTCTATGTTTTATTTTATGCAGTTGAAAACATTCCTCTGAGAAGGGTTACACAGGCCTCACCAAACTATCAAGGGGGTCCATAGCACATAAAAAAGTCAAGAACCACTTTTCGTTATGCAGTCATATCCAACTCTTTGTGACCCCATTTGGGGTTTTCTTGGCAAAGATACTGGAGTGGTTTGCCATTTCCTTCTCTAGCTCATTTTACATATGAAGAAACTGAGGCAAATGAGGCAAAGTGACTTTTCCAGGGTCACACAGCTAGTAAGAGTCTGAGGCCAGATTTGAATTCAGAAGAGTCAAAAAAAAAAGCCTTCCTGACTTTAGGCCCATCACCCTGTCCACTGTGCCACTTAGCTGCCTCTCAGTAACTTCTACTATAGACCAACTGTAAGGCTTTATGTAGTATTGAGACAGCTGATGGAGACTAAAGCAATAGACAATAGATCTAATCAATCAGTTTGACTGAATAGCCATGTATCAGAGGAAAGCTTTTATGAAGCTAGGTGACATCATAACCATGCTGTCATCATCACAGTGCTCTATGGAACCAGTTCAACAATTTAATATGTGCATATCATCAGCCTATCAACATATCTGTAATACTTAAGCCCAGAGGAGGGTTATGTAGTTTCCTGAAGAACAATTCCAAGATAGGACATTAGACAAGTTGAGGTACTGATTGGCTGAGGCCGGGATACTGTGTATATCAAACATAAGCCAGATGTGACTCCTGATTAGTGGAGACTTTGGAGAGAGAAGACAAGAGCCATAGCTTGAAAGAGGTTATGAACTTTTGAACAGCGCAAGCTTTTAAACAGGAGTCACTATTGCCATAGACACACCCTCTCTTCCCTCACCCTCCCTACCACATGTCTCTGTATTCCTAGTGCCTGAACCTCCAGAGATTATTTCTAACTTTCCAAATGAGGGAAATTACATGGAGATAGTGCCTCATTAGCTGTCTTCAACAAATATTAGAAGTTTCCTGGTTTAAAGGCATGATACTAGGCTCCTAAGTGATAGAAGAATGAATTAGACACAATCCTTACCCTCAAGGAGTTTGTAATGTAGTTGGGGACATAAGACAGGTACACAAAATAACTATGATACAAATGAGAATATAGGTGCATCCATCTTCTAACACATACTAGATGTTAGACCACAGACAGATCATTTAGCCTCTCAGTGACCCAGGCAACTCTCTGAGGTCCATAATACTCTGTCTTGATATACCAGAAAAATTATAAATGAAAAAACTGGATAGAAAATATGGATGAAAATAAATGGAAAGGAGAAAAAGTAGTTTAGAGCAAAAGATGGAAACCATACCCAAGCAGCACAGTCCCTGAAAATTAAAATGGACCAAACAGAGTCCAATGATTCCAAAAAACAAAAAGAAATATTAGAATAAAATCAAAAGACTAAAAAATGGGGGGAGGGGAAGTGTTAACTATTAAAAACAATTCAAGGTTATTTGGGGATGATGTCACTTGAGCTGAGTCTTTAACAATCAATTCTAATCAATTCTGCCACCCTTCCATTTAATGGGTGAGTTCACTCCATTCCCATTCATAGTTATAGTTGTTAATTGTGTATATCCCTCCATCATATCCTCTTGTACATTATCTTCTCTTTCCTCCCTTATCTCTCTTTATAAGGAAGGTGGTAAGAGAAGGAATCTGATAACACAGTGAACTGTAATTGAAGCTATCTATTTCTGCTTTACTGCCCCTCCTTTCTTCACCCAGACCCACATCACTGGTTCTTATTTTCTTTCCTTTTGATCTCCCCTTTATAATTTACCCTCTGAATTTAATTTGTTTTGCCTGTTTGAAGATAGCGAGGTTCTGAATGGACTTATTTTTTTCCCTCTATTAGAATTGCAAGCTGTTCGTCATCAATTAGTCCCTTCTAATTGCTCAATTTTATTTTCCTTTCTGGGTAAAAATGATGGCTTTCTAGTCAGAGCATGTGGGTTCAAATCCTGGCTCTTATACTTACTTCCTGTGTGATCTTAAGCA